TGGTTAGGTTTCTTCAGCAGGTGTACACAGGCAATAAGGTAGTTATAACATGAAATTCAGGGACTACACAACTTGCAGCAATAACAAGAGGGCTAAGGCAGGGCTGTTCACTGTCACCTCTACTCTTCATGATATATCTCAGTTGAATGGAAAAAAAAATCAGAGCAGAGCAACTTAGGTTTTGATGTAAGTTAAATGGAAGGAGGGAGAAATATAGTCGCCCATAGTGATCCTGAGACGGAACAATACAAAAACGGACGAAACGACGAAGTCTCTAACACAGCTTCTGTCTTCTGTCAGAATATCATTCACCAGCTTGCCCGCGTTTTTTAGCTTTCTTCACTGAGAAATATAGTACAGGTAATACCGGGACTGACGCATGCGGACGACATGGTACTTATGGCAGATAACCAGAATGCATTACAGAAACTAGCTGCTATATGTGGAGCGGAGGGGAACACCTTGGGCATGAGTTTTAGTAGTGACAAGTCTTGAGTAATGGTGTTTAACGACGAAAAGAGGGAACAACTGAGGATACAAGACATTGAACAGACCCTGTAGGAAAATACAAATATCTGGGTGTCTGGCTTAATGAAGGAAGTAAATACCTAGAGGAACATGAGAAGAACATAATTAGAAAAGGGAAAACAAATATTCTATTATGAAACTCAATGCACTATGGAACTATAAACAACATGAAGTGGTCAAGGGTATATGGATAGGAGTGATGGTACCAGGACTCTATTTTGGCGATGGGGTACTGTGCATAAAATCAGAGGTTCAGTCAGAATTAGAACCTCGACAAAAATGCGTAGGCAGATTGGCACAGGGAACACATAGAAAGACACGAAATGAGGGAGTGCAAGCGGACATGGGCTGGTTGTCTTTTGAGAGCAGGGAGGTAATTGGTGAGTTGAAATTTGAACGAAGGTAGATCGAAGTGGATGATACGTGGTGGGCAAGGAAGATATTCAAGGATTGATATATAAAAAGTTTAAACACAAAATGAACAAACCAAACCCGAAAGCTTATATTTATATATATATTTATACCTACACGCTATTGAGGGCGCTGAGCAGACTGCTTCAGTGAAAAAGAGAGTGAGAGAGTCAGAAAGGAAAATGCGGGAGGGAAGAATGCAGGAAAAATCAGCACTAACAATATACTGGTCAAAAAAAACAGGGCCCAAAAAAGGAAAATGTGTTTGACAATTCACCGGGAAGTTCTTTACTGTTTTACTTGACCTATGCAAGGGCGTATAAGGCCAAATTTTGGGAGACAGACACATAATAAGCCTACCATAATAAGAGCGACACCCGAGAGCACTTGGTTTTGAAGTCCACGGGGCTTCACCCTGCACTCCCTGAAGGGGTAACGCATTTGGCCGGGGCCCCGAGTTTTTCAGGCGACGATATGGAAGGACGGAATAAAAAAAATTTAAAGTCGAAAAGAGGCAATTAGAAGATTGATGACAATTATTTAGGAAAAATTGAATGATGCACAACCACCTAGTAGCACAGCTGGGGACAGTGAGGGCAGAGGAAAATTGGGACTCCCTTTCATGAGGCTCCGGCGCAAAGTCTCAATCCTGTCTCCTAGTGGGTCCGGTGCTGAGGTAACGCCGGCAAGGTTTCACCAGAGGAGAATTTGCGACTTCCTCGCAGGGGGAAAGAGTCGGGGGGGTGGGGGGGTGTTTTTAGTTTCTTGCTTGATCCCACGATGGTCATCCTTTTGTTATCCCACACTGCCTGGTGATAGTTAGGGGAAACAAAATTGTCTTAGAAAGGCGGGAGGAATCAAATGTTTGTCTTTTTTAGAATTCGGCTAGGTGCCAAAGTTTATAGCCATTATTATCCGTCCATCCATGCATTTAGCCTTAAACCTGACGTCATCCCGTCAGCTCTCGGGCCACTGCGAGAAAAGAGGGGAAGGAAAAACTTCCCTCTCACCGGGATTCTCTTTTGTATGTAACTGAGGTCCCTATTGTCCATATAAAAGCTTATAGAAGATTAACCCGTTACCCTAAATTCGTACAAAAGCAACTTTAGGAGTAAGTTTCGGTGGTCCGATCGCTGGCATACTTCGGCCGCTAAGGTGGCTGCAACGGCTAGGACATTCTGTCGATGTCAGCCTCACCGCAGCTTTGCTCGTCCCGAGAAAGTTTGAGTCCCGATTGCGTTGAATGTCACGTGGTCTCAGCTGGGCCTTCTCCGAGCGCTTGCCAGAGTGGGCCGTGTATAGCGAAAAATATATCCAACAGACACAAAATATGAACGTGCGAGTGTCATTTACTGATCTTGCGGATCATATTGCCGCGCGCAGGGCCGAGAAAGCAACGCTCAGTCACGGACTTCTAGAAGGTTTTTGTTTATTCTTGCTGCGGACGGTAACTTCTATCATTTATTCCCGCCTTCTTGTTCTAGAAAGTGCGTGTTCATTCTCGCCTTGTTTGCGCGACGCTCGAGCCTTCTTTGCAGAATCTTCGAGACAGTGACACACTCTAGATAAAAGGTCGCCGCGACCTTGTCGAGTCAGTCTCGCCACAGCGCTCGATCCTGCTGTTTCGCCGACATGACGCCTGCGACGCTAGCCTTTCTCTATTTTGTTTTGGGAACAAGTTCGCCCCATTAAACGTTTAGTTTCTTCAGTTATCCGCCGCCTCATCCGTTGTCATTCGTGGCAATATTCAGCCTATTTCTGAACACGACGGTAATATTTCAAATTTTGTTTGACAATGCGCTAGTGCAGTGGTTCTCAAATATCGATGTTTCGCGAACCCCTTGTGAATCGGCAGAGATGCTGGAGGACCCCGTTCGTGGTGAGAGGAGAGGAAATGTATAGGTTAAAAAGAATAATGATTTACTAAATGTATATAACTATGGGCTAGTGTGAGGTAGACCTCTCTTTTTGGCATACACACGAAAAAATTCGCCCCAAAAGTGAAACATTTATTCTCGACCTGGAAAAAATACCCGGACCTGACTGATTAGGCAGGCCTTCGCGGACCCCTAGAACGCCTTCGCGGACTCCAAAGGGACCGCGGACCCCCATTTGAGAGCCACTGCGCTAGTGCTTCGCCAGCAGCCCGTAGGTTAAATAGCTACGAGCCCATTCTATTCCCGCTCAATTTCGGGCAACAAGCATTTAATTCCAATCCCATTACATTTCTCCCAGTGCTGTCGCCATTTCATTCCCACTCCATTCCAGGGTCGCGAAAGTGCAGAATGGTTTTGGAATCATTTCAACTACGGAGTGGCAACACCGCAAGAGACCGCAACAGATTTGCACGCGTTCTAGCGCAAACGAAACCAGAGATGAAGCCAAGGGCTTGCGCCCGTAGCTTTGATAACGTTGTATACTAAGCATAAAATGGAGTATAGAAGATGAGTAGTTGGTAATTTTATGATTCTAATCCAATAATAAACGACACGAAACACCTGTTTTCAAACCGGCTTAAAGATATGCCTCTTTGAAAATGTGAAGTTAATGAAAAATTAACGGTTAGCGTAGTAGCGATCAATTACTTCTCTCAAGAAATCAAGCAATGTAGTTTAATACTTTTTAACCAGGAGTGGTAGGAGGAATTGTACTTGATTACTTTCCCTTTTTTGAGTAACGTCTGCAAGACTGACAAAGACTTCCCCCCCTCCCCCCTTTCTCCTCCTCTGCGTAGACACTGAGGCTGCGTATTAGGGTAGGCACTGCGTTTTGGTAGAACAATCTGGTAGGCGCGGTGATCGACCACGGCCTCAAGTGAATTAACACGACGCAGTGATCGACCGGCGCCCAATCGGGCTCGGCCGTCTTTCTCACACATCGTACAGCCAGTCGAACGTATGGTCTTACACAGGTATGGCCTGACCGGGCCCACAGTGGCTATAACCTGTGAGATGGCAATAAAAACCCTGCGAGGACGCCATTTTGCACTTCTTAATACACCGGAAGGAGCTGTCCAGAGGTGGATTTGAGCCACTTCTAAAAAGTGGTTCCATCAGGGCATGAAAAGGCTGCCACCAGTGGCGTCAAAACAGGAAGGGGGGGGGGGGGGGGGACAGGGGGCGACCCCCCCCCCCCCCCCCCCCCCCCCCCGGCCTGATAGTTCGGAACTTTAATGGAAACAATATTAGGTAGGGGGTGTAAAATCGTAAAATCGCCGTTGTCCCCCATCTCCTGTATAGTTCTGATGCCTCTGGCTGACACACAGGTGGTGCAAGGGCCTTTGGCTCCAGGGGGGTCCGTCGAAAAGGTGGACATATGTGCTGACCTCTACGTGAACGGTATCTCCAGAAACAATAAATAAGTTGTAGATAAATACTGCACGTCTCTTTTAACTCCCAGGATAGCCGATGCCGCAGCGTTCCCACTCAACACATTCCTTCTAAAGTGCTGCCTACCCAGCCTCGTTCCGCATACCAGTCAAGTAAAAGAGCGTCAATCAATCACAATTATCGTAACAAGCATTATGCAAACACCGTTCGCTGAGGCGTACCAAACTAGAGAAGTAATATTAAGACATATATGGCTTGGCCGATGAATTCTGCCTCCCAATAGGGTTAGAAAGGAGGGCTTGAGAGAAAAGGCGATAGTCGAATTTTGCTTGTTTGTCAACTTTTACTTTGAGTATTTAATTTGGCGCACTCAACGTTAGTGAACTACCCGAAGCAAAGTAAAACGGCAAACCCAACACTGATTTTTGTTTACCCCAGATATTCAAAACTTCTGTTATTGTTTTCTCCACCCAGACAAGAAAATTTATAATTTAGTGATTCTGAGATGTAAGTCCCAAATAAATATTTCATAGAGGGATCCAAAAAGAGGACTTTCCTAATCACCAAAAATATAGCTTTCGAATTTTTTTTTTCATCGGAAAGGTTTTATTTAAAACGAAGTGGAAGAGTTTACGTGATTTCAATTGTGATTTAAATCATTTAAATTTTTTTCTTCGCCCTGTGTTTGACCCATCTGAATGCATTAATACATATTTTTCTTTTCAATTTCAGAGCTCATGGGAAGGACAGTTAAATATGAACTTCTGAAAACTCGGAATATAAATTACACATTTTGCAGCATTCTACAAACTTCAAAAGGACAGCCAGGTAAGGCAAAAAGCTTTATTATAGGTGTCTATGACAACTTTTATTTTAAATTGCTCAAAAAAAGATGACTAAAATAATTTGAAATCGACATAAAGTATATAAAATTGTCCAAGGTTTTAGTAGAACGAAACGGAAACCCGTATTTTTTTTTGTAAATCTTCAGTTGTTGAGTTTTTTTACTTCAAAATGACCGAAGGCAAATTTTGAGACTTGGGTAATTGTTACATATTGTTTATTTTAATATTTTGTCAGGCTTAGATACATTTCGCAGAATAAAGCTTCATACACGTTATACAGAATATACGAGGATCGAACGAGAAAATAAAACTCTGCTTTTCGGCCCGTATAAATAGACAATGGATTATAGAAGGCTGACACTCCGTCAGAATATGAAGCTAGGCGGTAAGGATAGCAAGCCAAATTTTGAAAAAAAAAAAACATTACCCAAATCAAAAGGTAGATGGGAAAAAGGAAATTTCTCTGAGCCAACGTCCACCCAAGTCTAATTTTGTAAAAAAAAAAAACTGTAATGTCTGTAATGCCGATTTAGAGCGCAGCTCTTGAGGAGGAGGAGGGAAAGGTACGAAGGGCAGGGTATGCCCCTCCTCCCCCTCCGTACCCTCCCATCCTCGTCTCCTGCTCCCCTCCCAATTAACGATTTTTTTTTGCTAAATTTCCCGCTGACTTTAGCGGGGACATTTCTCCACGAAATAGAGCGGGGAAATGTTTCCGTTATATTTAGTGGGTAAATTTTTCCACTACATTTAGCGGGAAAATGTGTTCGCTAAATTTAATGGGGAAGTTTTTCTGCTAAATTTAGCGGTAAAAAGTTCTGCTAAATTTGGCGGGAATTTTTTTTCCCTAAAGTTAGCGGGGAAATGTTTTCGATAAATTTAGAGGGACATTTTTTCGATAAGTTTAGCGGGAAATTTTCCCACTAAAGTATGCGGGGAAATGTAGTGAAACTTTAGCGGGTGGTTACGCCGACGGCGACGGCGACTGCGACTGCGACGCCACCTGAACCGGAAACGGGCGCCTAAGGAGCTGCGCTCTAAAAAAACTTCAAGGAAGTCTGTGGGATATATTTCAGTAAAACAAACTTGTCAGTAAAAAGAAAGCATTGTTGTCTTATTTGCTGACAAGTTGTGTTTCAATGAAATAAATGTGTAAGCGTCATGATATATCTAACGTATACAGTAAATCGAAGTGCACAATTATACCTCATGCACAAGACAAGTAAGGTAATTTGCTAGCCCTACGCACCGGCAGCCGTTTTCTTTCGCCATTATAACAAAAAAAAAAAAAACCGCAACAAAAAAAAAATAAACACGACAAGTGCCGACTAGAATTACTGTCAGCTTAAGAAACACGGGGCGTGGCAATTCCCGATCATCTGACTATCGATCCGCAGCAAATAAGGTTGCAGAATTAAAGCAGTTATGACCCGCCAAAATAAAATATGCGATAACAAGCTAGGATCAAGTGTAGGTTCCTATAATCCTGCTAAAATTGTTTTGAAAATGGCGCGATAGTTTCGTATATAAATCAATTTATATGCGGGTCCCTCGGAGAGGCGGATTGGGGTGGAGCGGGATGCTAGTGACGTCGCCAGCCTCCCGCGCGGCGTCCCCTTGCACGCACTCACAGACTTGGCTCTCTTGGCGTCTCGAGCTTCAGCTTCCTCGTTTACATTCCGCGTTTCGAGCATGCGGTCCATGACTATTATGTCTACGACATCGCTCTCCTTGTCAAGGTGTTCAACATTGATGGCAGCAGTGATCAGAGGGATTGCTATCAAGAGATGTTGGAATCTATTAATTTTGACTGCGACCCGCAGGCGATCAGCTCCAGCGACAGCGAGTTACGAACGGACTAGACGCGGTCACCGTCGTCAGTGAATATCTCGCAGGCGCATACAGGGTTGAAGGTCAACGGGCCGGGGGTCAGAGCGAGAATAGCGTTCGTGTTACTAGGTTGAGTGAGCGGTTTTGATTGTGCCGCAGCGCGGAGAGCTTGAGCGATCATGGGGACGTTTTCAATGAGAGAACGTTCATAGTCACGTGGTTTATGGACACCATGATGTGCTTAACTTCGGCTGTGTGGCCTGGTTGCTAGATGAAAATGAAAAAAATCGTAACTTGATTATTGCAATTACCAGTGCTCTAAAAATCGCGTAACTTGATGTATGGACTAAGTAGCCTATGAGCATTCGATTTCAAGAATAATCTATCCGTTTAATTTTCGCGTCATTACCCCTTTACCTACAACGAAATTTCGGCGCTTATTTCTTGGCCAATTTGTGTTCAAGGGTGCACACTCATATCAGACACACCTATCTCTTGTTGAAAAAGACATGAAAAGGGTTTATAAAATGAATTAAACAATTAGCAAAGAGCACCTGGTGGATGTTGCTTTTGCCTCGTTTGTAACGCCCCGCCTAGGAACCTTGACACGTAGTGACGATGACTGTCTCGCCTCCGGTCACCACAAGAAAAGAGGGGAAGGAGGAACTCCCCTCACTCCGAAACTCCCTTCAGTGTGTACCAGACGTCGATGTTGTCCCTCTACAAGCTTACAGGAGATTAAGCCCTCACTCAAAATTCCTACAAAAGCAGCAGTGGGGTTAGTTGCGGTAGCCCGATCGCTGGCGTTCTTCGGCCGCTTCTGTGGCTGGAACGGCTAGGACATCCTCTCGACGTCAGCCTCGCCGAAGCTTTGCTCGTCCCGAGACAATCTACGTCACGATTGCGGTTGATGTGACGTGCTCTCCGCCTGCTGCTCTCCAAGCGCTTGCCAGAGTGGACCGTTTATACAAAAAAATACAGCCATCAGCTTCAAAACACCAACACGCGATTGTCATTTACGGATATTGTGGATCACATTAGGCTATTTTTGAGCACAACGGGCGCCGAAGATCCAACCAAGAAGCGTATACCTAATAAGACACACCCTGAGTTTCTTAGCCTGTCAATGACTACACGGCACGCAAGTTCATCTGTTCCTTGCGCACCTCGTGCATTTGTTTACCCGTCAAATGCGCCCCCCCCCCCCCCCCCCCCACGTGCTTTTTGTTCATTCCCCCGACCTCGACCAATGCGGGCACGATGCTTGGCTGCCTCGTCATCGCGCCTTCCCTGAGTGTTCGCTGCGTTGCCCTTTGATTGTGGCGTGCACACATCCCTGCGATCTCACGGGTCAGATACGCAATTTGACACGGTTGCTCGCCGTATGAATACAGAATGTGTGCAGTGCAACACATTTCATTATTGAGCTTATGATTAATTTCCAATGCGAGCATGTTCGTGCCCCCGTGAACAATAGTGGTATAACTTGACCAAGAAAATTGCAGCCCCCCCCCCCCCCCCCCTCCACCGTTACAATCGGCCTCTTTAAACGTGCGCTTCAATTTTTAAATCGTGTATACGTTGTGAAATATTGTGGTAGAGGCCTCTCTGTAAGTTATGGCACGTTAATATGCGCGGCATTGTGGTGCAGCGAATGGCACTACGCCACTATCTCAGCATTCACGGAAGGCGCCGTGCCTCACTGTCGTTTTGTATGTGCCGCGAGGCATGTCATGCAACTTAGCGAGCTGCATCTCGGTTTTGGTGACACTAGCACACTCCATTGGTAACATTCGAGGTTGTTCGGAAATACGAAGCGAAACCGACCGGGACAGGTGTAAAACTCATCGTTTCTTTTCAGACTGTTCCTACTGGGTCCTGGTAATGAGCAGAGGCGGCATCGTTCCAGACTGGTGCCAACCGGACCCTATTGAGCCGGGCTGCAAAGTGGAGATCTACACCCTGAAGAAACATGAGGAATGCGGATATGCAAGTGAAGAGGAAGAAGAGGATGATGACGACGAATCTGAGGAAAGCGATTCTGAGGAAGACGAGGATGAGGAAGACGACGATGAGGAAGACGATGATACGGACTGTAATGATGAAGATGGAGAAGAAAATTCAAAGGACGAAGACGAAGACGAAGAAAATGAATCGGGAGGTGAAAGTAAAGATACAGAAGAGGAAGAATAAGAGAAGGAAGAGATATAAAAAAGATTGCGGTAGAGTTAAGGGGAACGGCAGCGACGCATGGCAGCGATTCCATAAACCGGGATGAAAGTGCCCCCAGAGAGACACCATAAAAATAACAAAAGATGTGGAAACAAAAACTGGTAATATAGTAGAAAAAGTTTTACACATGCTTTACCTCCGGATCCTGTCTGTAATCAAATTAATAATTTCACAAAGCTCCGATAAATAAAGAAAGTAAAGCACCCATTTTCCCAAATGCTGGTTCACACACTTGCGACTGCTTACGACCGCCAACGTCTTGTGATCTCTTAGGACAAGATAACCCACTCGCGCCAGCTATCGGGTAGCCGTAGAACATTTGGCATTTTCACATATTTCTTATTTTTGTTGGGCATCATTCTTTCTTTCTTGGCTCGAAAAGAAACTTTTGACAGCGTCATAAACTACTCTTTCTCATAGATAGTGCGTACATTTGATATCGCAACTACCGCAAAAAACCTTCGCTCTAGTGAAATCTAGTTCCAGGGTCACCTCACACATGGCGCCAGCTGGTTCTCCAGAGAGTCTATTTGCAATGCGAGTTGCCTAAAGCGTTGATCGTCTGCGAACGTCTCCGGCAGCATTCCTCCTCGCCACGCGAAAGCGCAGCGCATGCACACTTGCGACGCATCTACGCAGAAGACATCCACCATCGAATTTGCACACACTCCCCATGGTTCGAAATGTATCCTCTTTCAATTTAGGCTCTCTAGTGTTCTCTCGTCATCAGAAGACCTCGGTCGTAACCAGACGCAAGTGTGTGAACGGTCCCTAAATCGCCTTGATAACCTCACCTTCTGATAAACTGAACTTTAGAAAGAGTATCGTAACTTTTCCTCGTGTGACTGGAAAGTTCATACGACCCGGGAGTAACTTCCGTACAAACAGTGCCGAAGTTATCCCAAAGGCTTTCTAATTCAAGGTGAAGAACTCTAAAGGACACAATAGTTTCTTTTTCGAAACCCCGTCAAGGAACAATGGCACTAGGCATTTTCTGGGCACGAAGCGTGCGATTTGATCGGAGTCCTCGCCAAACCGTGACGCAGCGCTCGTTCTCGATCCGAGCCGAGTTCATGCCGAACGGTAACGCAACCCTCGCGCCCAAAACACGCTCAGATGCCCAAACAATGGCGAACTTTTATAATTGGTGCTGCAAATACAAGATGGCGTGCACTTTTGACAAGGTTGTATTATTCCAGCATGAAAAAGAGATAGAAATAAAAGTGAAAATCGTCATTGTGGAGGAAACACCCTGTCTGGTGCTCGAGGAATAGTTTAGTCTTCTCCAAGCACGTTGTGAGCTTGCAGGGTCAGGAGTGGCAGTAGGTGGGGAACGGTGTTCACAGCCAGGTCCGTTTTCTTTTTGAGAGGTTCACAACCTGGTTCAAATTTTGTCGTCGAAACTTTCTTGGAAGCCTCAGGGAAAAAGCTATACTCAGATACAAGCTAAGAATGAGCCAGAAATTCACAGGCCCAGCTTACCACCTTGCTGCCAATGTTCCACCTCCAGTGTGTGCCCTTTACGTAACTTGGTGCTTCGATTGGTTGTGCGAACCAGAGCCCCAAGAGCCTCGCGAAGGTTGAAAGGTCGAGCTACTCAAACTAAACCCATTTTCACGATGCCCAGGCAGTATACCCTTCTTGGTGTGCTACATTTCTCATCTCTAAATTCAAGATGGCTATGGGAAAAAATGCAAAAAAAGATTATGCCAAATCCAGCATTCAAATATTTCGCCGTTTCTGTGGGGTGACGCAATGTGGAGATTAAGTCGTCTGCTTTTTGCCCAGGAGTTGCGGTGACGTCACAACGACGCCAAGTTCTTATTGGATTTGATTGGAAAGATAGTGGGTAGACTTCAAGGCAGCTTGCTTTGAGGTCTACTTACTATCCTTCAATCAGAGCCAACCAGAGATCGGCGTCCTTCTGACATCACCACTACTCCTGCACAAGTAGCAGACGACTTACTCTCCGCATAGGGCTCGGTACACTTACGTCTCTTTAAAAAATCGTAATATCCGCAGTCCCGTTTGTAATTCTCGTTTCGCAAGTGATGTTTCTGAATTTAACGCAATTTCACCTGCTGTTATTTCAGCATTTATAACGACAGATTGTATAAAAATTAAAAACGGGACTGTAATTTTCTTACTGAGATTCAATTACTTCCCAGGTATATGTTCCCGACCTTCTATTTATCCACTACAATGCTGTTCTGAAAGCATGTAGCACTTGGGGCATAACAAAGGTTATGTTTTTCTCGGACCTACGGTTATTTCAAAAGCTGATTCATTATTCAGATGGAACATATAAACGTTCGAAATCAAGCAGGCGGCCATGCCGGTTGCTTGCAGCAGTAAAGGCGCTTGCTCAGTATTTGCTGACAAGTGCGCCATAACACGAATGTTACCGGCATTCATATCGGGAGTGGCGCTATATCTAAGTAAAATAAAGACACCTTTTATATTTGATTTTTTAAAACATTGGCACTCTCACAAAACGATCACGGGTGCCCATTACGTCGTGTATGAAACGCATCTTGGTGACAAAAAGCAACATAAAAGCCGTTGAACACTTCGCACACACACCACTTGGATTCCAAGCGGCAAATATAATTGAGAGAAAATTCAACCTACTTCCCTTCAAAATTTTCAGCGCCTTGTTGGCGTAAAACCATCTGACTCGAACTAACCTCGTGCAAACTGGTATCAGAAGACAATTGACCCCGTAAATGACTACGTCATAACATGGCGTCTGGGTCCAAACAAACCGTTGCTAGGGACGTTGATATGGACCGACGCACGGAGACTCCACATGAGGGTAGGATTTTGCTGACAAGTAAGTAAATAATTTTTTGTAAGGAACCTAACTTCTTGATATATAATTATGAAGATGTTCTTGTCGTCACAGTGTCGTATTGCAACAATGAATGCCATTTCTAAAGTATTACGCTCCGCTTTGTTTTTGTAGTAGACGACACGATAGATTTGCTGGCCTCTGTTGCAGCGGGCGTCTTCACTGAATTGCGTCTGTAAACGAGGAACAAAAAGAAGTGCATCTCCATGGTCGTAGAGGCCTCCGCAATGTGCGTTTTTTTTTTCTGTGAAGAACCCAGCTTAGTTCAAAGGGGTGAAAACTCCGTAAAATCAAACCACGTCATGCAGATCACTTACGACGACGACCTGAAGTGCATTACCGGCTTAGTGCAGGCCAGCATGAGAAACAAATCGTACGCCGTCGAGGTAAGTCGTTTATTATCATTATTGTTGAAGCTTGTACTAAATACTAAATTAATAAGATAGTCAGAATAGGAGAACATATAAAGAGCATAATCGAAAAACATCACCAAATGTAGATGTGTAAGCATAAACAAAATAACCGGATAGCGGATGAACACAGGCACACTTCTCAACGCTGTTTTACCATGGCACTGTAAGACTACTGCAAGTTTGAGCTGGATTTTACTTCACTACTATTTGCTTGCAAGTATTATATCAATATTATAGTAATAATATAGAAATATAGCCCCATATTTTAAGACATTATGACCGAACAGAATATGGGTTTTACGTGCTCTCGGTTGATTTGGCCCTTTTTTTTTTACATCACGGCAACTGTCCGTCAGTGCTACATGTTCTCACCTTATGTTTTTTATCCAGTTCTTTTGCCCTTTTGGGTCTTGCGTAAATCTGAAGAAACTGCAAGAATCTTTCTCCACGCGATGGTTACAACCAGTACGAAGCACCCTCCCATAGCGCGAGTCCGCAAACAAAATTTGGGATCATAACCAATCCCCTGAATTTTTTTTCACGGGTGCAATGCGATCTTTTAGCAGATTGGGTCATCTCGATCGACGTCCGGTTTTTGATAAACCATATTTTGCATCGCACCCCACTATAAATTCTTGTAAGCGTCTGAGACTCTTTATATTTCAAACAAATGCAATATTAGAATATCGTCTTTGTTCACACGATTCAAACGACGGCGCCGGTTTGGCCGGCGGGCGTGTGGCAGACGGCATGCTTGCATTCATCGTCTGCTGCAGGCATCTTGAGGACCGGAAGTTGCAGTCGTCAATATTTCAGAAACAAGCGATTACTGGCATACTTTTGTCGAAACATATATGACATTCAAGCTTTCTATATCTGTAATTTTTAGAAGTTTAAATCATACTCCTGATTTTTGAATGGTCGAGTTTTCATAGCAAAACCTAGCCACATGTGTTCGTTCATAACAACGACCCTAGCAACGGTTTGTTGGAACAAATGACGCCACACTTACGAAGTCAATTTACCATAGAAATAAATTATTTGGTTTGAAGGATGACGAAGACTACAGGCTGCTCTCTGGTTCAATTTGAAACCGGAAGTCTTATAGACACTAGCGTCAGTTGAACCTCTAGTGTACAATATCATGACTACATGGCCGACCCTTCGGATAAATTAAATTCGCCCCCCTTTGCTTCAGTCTCTCACCACATCCGGCGCTAACCGCGGAGTTGAGAATGCAGCATGCACGTTTCCGATGCTCAGAAATGGCACATAAAATAAACCAGCCTCATATCGATATTACAGTAATATCGAGATTTGAAGAGAAGTGTGCTACTGATAAAATATTGCCTCTGTGTGTCATCATGGGGCATTCGAAATGCCTTCACTGCATTATCAGTATGTCGAAGGCTCGGCGATTAGCGCCGTGTATCGCGGTATACTGAAACAAGTCGACGAAAACTGTATTTCCTCAGTGGGCAGGCCATTTGGCACCGTCACAATTCTCAAAACGCAGCACCAGCTCCACGAGAGCTTCCTTAGACGACCGTTGACTGGCGCGACGAGGGCGAGTGGCTGTCGCTCCGTCGTTCTCGTTTCTTTCATTCGGGACTGTGTATTGCGCTTAGTGTATAGAATATTGTCATTTGGCCACTACAGAATATTGGGCATATTTATGCTTTAGACTCATGTTGTTGAAAAAAAAAAAAAAAAAACTATCTCCAAACTTTGGTC